TGCACGAGCACAGACGATGCTGACACGCCCAGTAGCTGCATAGGGACAGGGGAAGAGCAGGGGAAACAGATAGAGCAAGGAAAGTGGGGAGTGTTAAGGGTGGTCAGGCACGAGTGGGCGAGTTGCTAGAAGGGTGGGGAGGGGGGCGAGGATGAGTGTGGACGAGGATGGGACAAGAGGCGAGGGTAAGAGTGCTGGGGTGAGTGACTCGCGGTGTGCACACCATGGTGAGCTGGGATTGAAGAGGAGGACAACTAATATTGAGGCACGACCAGAGTGTCGGAACGTAATGGAAGTGGATCTTTGGACATCTTCCAGTGAGCGCGGGTTTGCTGTTTTTCCTACTTGCTAACCCGTTTCCTGACGCCGCGCTCACTGGAAGATGTCCACAGAGTGTCGGAACGTAATGGAAGTGATGGGTGAACGGGGGTTGCCGGGTTGGGAGAGGGTAGAGAAGGAGGAGAAGGAGGGCCAAGAGGGAGATAGGACATGAATGGAGGATCGAGAAGGTGAGGGCATAGAAAGGGAGGGAAGGGGGTGAAAGATAGAAACAGCACTAGAACAAGCTTCAAGGTCCATGCCATGTCACACCTGCCATGCCATGCCATGCCATGCCATGCCATGCCATTCCACACCATGCCATACCATGCCATGCAGGTGGTACCTTAGCCAGGGACTCAGCACACTCCACAGTGTCCGCATAGCCTGCATCGCCCTGGAAATGGGAGGCACGGAGGCACGGAGGCACAGAGGCACGGAGGCACGGAGGTACGGAGGCATGGAGGCACGGAGGCACGGAGGTACGGAGGTACGGAGGCATGGAGGTACGGAGGTACGGAGGACCACACAGAGACGAAGCAACAGACGTGAGCCACACGATGAGTTGACCAGGCGACGGGATTGCTTAGGTCGATTAAAGAACGATATACCAGCGAGCAACGGCGTTAACTCACAGTGGCTGCGTTGGCCTGGCCTGCATTGGCAATCACTGCTCGAGCCTGCAAAGGAAACCCCACAGACAGCACAGACAGCACAGTGAGGGGCGATGGAAAATACCATAGGTATTGAAGAGGGGGGAGGAGGAGGGGAAGCTTGTATGGCCAGGCAAGCAGTGGGGACGAAACAGGAGGAAGCAGGAGGACGCAGGTAAAAGCAAGGCGTTGATTGAACTAACGAAGGGGAATGAGCGCACGAGCCCACCATAATGCGCATGGGGTAGGGTGTAGCGCATCAAACCCCATCACAAGCCAAACAGCTCCGCCTGTGCATCTCCTGGCGCAGCTCCCTCCCTTGCTGCACCTCCCTCCCTTGCTGCACCTCCCACCCTTGCTGCACCTCACATTTTGCACCGTCCCTGCCTCCCTCTCGTCCCGATCCTTCCTTCCACCACCTTCACCTCTTCCCCTTATCTAGCACCTGCAGTCTCCAGCCACTCAAACCCCGTCCCTCCTCCCCTCAGTCGCACAGTGCTGGTGCGTAGCACTTGTTTCGAGGCGTTCTACGAAATACTCTGCCAAAAAACCGCTCCCTCCCCTCCCCCCCCACCCTCCTCACCCGCTCTTTGCCCCTCCTCTCCCCCACCACGCCCTTCTCATCCCACCAACCCCCCCTCACCAACCCCACCTCCCACCACCCCCCCACAGCTTCTTCCACTCACCGTGCTGGTTTCCTGCAGAGCCTTCTTGCAGTAGAGCACTGGCGCTGCTGCCACCACGTTCTGAGTGAACGTGGCTGCCCAGGAAAGGGAAGGGAGGAGGTGGGGGGAAGGGATGGGGAGAGGTGGGGGGAAGGGATGGGGAGAGGTGGGGGGAAGGGATGGGGAGAGGTGGGGGGAAGGGATGGGGAGAGGTGGCGGGAAGGGATGGGGAGAGGTGGGGGAAGGGATGGGGGGAAGCGACTTCTGAAGAGCCTTCTTGCAGTAGAGCACGGGCGCTGCTGCCACCACGTTCTGAGTGAACGTGGCTGCCCAGGGAAGGGGGGAGCCGCGGGGGGGGGGGGGGGAGAGAAGGAACATGACCGCGGGATAGGGGAGCACGGGGCAAAGGGAGACGGATATATATACAGATGGCACCCATGAAAAGAGAGCAGAAAGGGCGAGGGGCGAAGGATGTGGGACGGTGAAGGGGGGGTTGGGAAGGTAATGCAATGCGGGAGTGGATAAGGCCTGGTTGAGCAGCAGGGGCTCGATGCTTCTAGCAGTGCGTTGCCAATGGTGCTGCTGGTGAGGGAGAGGAAAGAAAGGCGCTGGGTGGGACGAGAGGAAGGGATGGGAGAGTGGTGGTGCTTAAATGAGAAAGTTATGGGGAGAGGACGTCTACAAGGCAGGCGAAGAGACGAAATGTTAAACAGAGGCGCATTTCTCCTGCGAGCGCACGTGCACCTGCAATGGTGCCGTAGGAGTCAGTGAGCGATAGACGTGTCAAACGATGTCACGGTTTCGACACGTCTCGAACGACACTTGTATGTACACATGGGTTTTTACTGGCAGCATGCGCACCTGCATCTGACAGAACACACACCTGCAACGGTGGCATCGGAGTCGGCCACAACGAGCGCGAGGTCTGGCTTCTGCCCCGATGCTCTCAGCGCCGCGTACTTGCCGTACGCCTTGAAGCCCCTCGCCGCCACCACCCCGCCCTCCACCTGCCGTGTGGGGGCATGGGGCCATGGGGCCATGGGGCCATGGGGAGAAGGGGCCATGGGGCCATGCAGAGCAGAAGTGCAGACATGCAGGCATGCAGACATGGGCACGAGAACACAACGACATGCACGTTCTTCGACATGACCGCATGCACCTGTGTAGGCATGCATGCATACAACTACACAACAGTGAGTGCCAATGATGTTCTCTTCACCTACTCCCTCGTATCCCCATGCATCCATAGGTGATTTTTGAGTCGACTAAAAAATCACTCATGCATCCCCATGCATCCATACTAAGCATACCTTCACCACAATAAGTATCCACCCACTCTGCGCATTTCTCCACTACACCCTGCCAAGCCCCCCTCCGCTTTCCCTCCCCCCCCAGCCCCCTGGTTCCGCCTAGCCCCCCCTGTGCACACGCCGCATCCCCGTTTCCACCCAGCCCCCTCCCCTCCCCTCCCCCCCATCCCCCTGATCCGCTGCTCCATGCCCCCCAATCCGCGCACCTCTTTCCAGGGCCCCTCGGGCAGCAGGATGGGCGCAGCGGGAATAAACTTCCCCGCCTCCGCCGCCGCCGCCTCCGCTTCCGCGGAGGACGCGCTCACGCGCATTCTGAACGGCCGTTGCGCGGACTAGGGGGAGCACGGCGCGGTTTGTGTGGATGGGCGGGAAACGGGAGTGCCCGGGGTGGGGGAAACGGAGGGAGGGGAAATGTGAGGACGGAGAAGCAGGGGAGGTAACATGAGAGGGGGGGGGAGGGGAGGGGGAGGGGGGGTGGGGATGCGATGCGATCGGCCTTAAAGTGGCGACAACACACAGAGTCGGAAGGAGAGAGAAAGTAAAGAGAGGGGAGCGTGGGCGAGCGTGGGCGAGCGTGGGCGAGGGGCGGCACTGACTTTGCAAGTCTGGGTGGAGGGACGCAGAGAGAGATTGCGCGCAGCGAGGCTCCAGCTGGACGCTAGGCAGGTACGAACAGCCACGCGGCGGCCTGCGATTGGCGCGAAAAAACCACAGGGACGTGATTGAGAGGGGTGTGACGTTAATCCGGCAAAAAATCGCCGGCGGAGATAGCGCGTAACGCGTACAGATCAAGTCGCGGTGAATCGCAATTCGATCGATGCTTTTCTTGTCTCGACGTCTTGGCTGACGAACGCTGGAGCGAATAAAATGGTGCGAGAGTACAGGGAAAGGGGCGAAGGGGGGCGGGGGGGCGGGGGGGGTGCACAAGGGTGTGTGAAGGAAAACAAGGATTGCGAGGGCACACACGCTCGCACCTTTGCAATCGGATGCTCCTGCACTCGAAACGGCAATCGAGACTGCACCACTGCTGATGGATGCGAAGGTGACGGCAGCCATGGCTGGGGACAATCTCTTCACTGGGATCAGAAGTTCAGAATACGCAATGACCACGAAAAATTCCCTCGTTGAATTTGTGTGTAATGTACTCAGTATAGGAGGACTCGCGTTGAGAGAATGGATGTGGCTCCGGGCCGAGATGGGGGGCGGGGGAAGAGATCTGGCGGCGGGAGTTCGACTTTGGGAGAGAGTGCGGGCAAGCGGCCGCGTTTGGAGTGGGGCAAGGAGGTCTGCTCGGAGGACTGGATTTGTATTTGTTTGTGTGCCCGAAATCAAGATTCAATAACAGCCGACTGAGGAATGAGCGAATTCAGCAAATTGCGGGGTTACAAAATATGCGCGAAACGCGGTCAAAAATGCAATTTTAGTGTACGAACTAGAACTGAACATCCCGAAGTAGTACAGTACTGCAATTCAATGTCGCCAAATCCTGCCCGAAGAGTCAGTATTTTTATCCAATTGGGGCGCCGCACAGACCACGTGTTCTTCCACGTGGAACATCAAGCAGTATCCGCTACAAGCGAAACATTCTGGCGTACAAGCTTGAACATAGAAGGTCGTGAAATTTATAAAAACAAAACCTTAGAGACGATGCTTAACGAGGTTGTAGTGCCCTAGACTAGACTAAATCAAAACCGTAAATTCCTACCATGCAATGAACTGCTTGACTTCCACAATGCCAAATTGCTGGTTCAGCCTTCAAATCAGGGTCTCAGATCTCAGACGAAATTGGTGTGATGTGTTGTGAACTGAACTAGCAAGAAAGGAGAAGGCCGCCTTGAAATGGCGGACGAGGTTTAGCTAGGGAAAATTGACGAGAGAGAAGAGGATCGATAAGGAAGGGAGAGGAGTGTTAGAATACGAGAATGTTCTACTAAAGGGGAATCAGGGAATCCATAGGAGTTGTGTTGTACTCACTAAGAGCACACACCGATACTAGCATATAACTTCTACATACATTATATGTATAAGTTGACACACCCCCTAGGCTAGAGAAGGGGTGGTGCAAGCAAGACGCACACAACTCAGGGTGGCACTACTAGTCCAACCACTGAGGCAGGGGTCCAAAGACCAGTCAGCAAGAGTAGAGACAAGACAAAAGCAAGCCAGGGCGGCACTACTAGTCCAACCACTAGAGGTAAGGCCACAAGGCCAGTCAGACAGGTATATATAGCAGAGAATACACAATCAGGGTCCTAACAAATGAGTAGCTACAGGAACAAGACCAAGCTGTACACAGTGCCGCTGATGATCTTTAAGCGCAAGCGCCTTCGTAAAGATATCAGCTCTGTTGGCACCGGAGGCCAAATGAACTACACGGGCCTGGCGACGCTGCTGTAGCTCGCGCAGGAGGAAGTATCGCAGCTGGATATGCTTCGCTCTGCTTTCAAGCCGAGGCTCCTGACACAGGAGTATCATCGCCCTGTTGTCAGCGTACAGGACCGGGGCAGAGCTAGGCCGCTCACCTAAGTCAGTGAGCAAGAAGGTCAGCCAGCAGAGCTCCTGTGCCGCCATGGCACCCGCATAGATCTCAGCCTCACAGCTCGACTGAGCAACAGACAATGAGCGAGTGGATCTCCAAGAGATAGCACCCGAGCCAAGGCTAAAACAGTAGCCCTGAGACGACCTGAGAGTCTCAGAGTCGTCTGCCAAAGAAGCATCTGTGTGCCCTGTGAGGACCACCGGCCTGCGTCCTCCTAGCACTAACCCCATGCCCGATGTACTTGCTAGATATCGCAAAACCCTCTTAGCGGCCGACCAGTGCTGAGGTCGGTGTCTGCCAGTGGCCACAAAACGAGCCAGGATGCTGAGAGGATATGCGAGATATGGGCGAGTGCAAGTCATCAGGTACATGAGGTAACCCACCAGCTCTGCGTAGGGGCCACTGGGCTCTACTGGCTCCTGAGGAACAGGAGCGGAGAGCCCATGGTCTACAGGTAGAGGTGTGGGCTTTGCGGAGGAGAACTGAAGACCGAACCTCTGAAGGACCTGACGCACCAAGTGTGACTATGTCAGAGTAATGGTGCGTGCTGCTCTGTCCCTAGAGATCTGCAGGCCAAGATAGCGAGGGGTCAGCAGAGGACGGAAATAACTGCAGGTCTGCTAACGTGGCACGTAGCGTGTCGTGCCACTCGCGGGGAGTCTGACGCAGGCCGTAGATCGGACGCCTGAGAAGCCACTGGGTCCCAAGGGGGAAGGTACCAGTGAAGCCCTGTGGTCGAAGCAGATAGACCTGCTCGTGTAGGCTGCCCTGAAGAAAGGCAGTAGAGAAGTCGAGGGAGTGAAGCTCGTAGTCGCGCTGTGCTGCTACGAGTAGCAGCGCCCGAAGAGTGGTCATCTTTGGGGTCGGGGCGAAGGTCTTAAAAGAAGTCCACCCCCTCGCGCTGACTGAAGCCTCTGGCCACGTAGCGCGCCTTGAAGACAGGCGGCTCTCCAGGGGGGCGCTTCACCTTGAAGAGCCACCGACCATCGACTACGTTCACCCCAGGCGGGGGAACTGCGTCGACGTAAGTGCCGGTGGACCTCCAAGATGCCATCTCCTGCTCCATGGCAGCTATCCACTGAGAGGCCCAAGGTCCTAAGGTGGCCTCAGCGTAGGTGCGAGGAGTCGGGATGTCGAAGGCGTCTAGGTCACCCTCAAGGACAAATAGAATGGAGCAGAGATGGGCAGCAGCTTCGGAAAGGAAAGCGAGCTCGTACTGCCTGTCCTCTAGGACGTCACTGCCAAGGCCAGGAGCACCCCCTACGGATGGAGGACGGGCAGGGTCAGACACCAGAGCGGTAGCGTAGTCAAGGCGGCGGGTAGAGGCGAAGTCAGCGACAGCAGCGACAAGCGCGTCAAGGCGCGAGACAGGAACAGACGGGTCTGTAACAAGAGAGGCAAGGACCCGAGAGACAAGGGGACGAGCGGCACGGAGGTAGTCAGACAGCGGGGGAGGTGCAACAACAAGCGACGAGGGAGGAGGCGAGGGGAGGAGGGGGGGACGAGACGAGTGAGAACGGAGTAACATAGGGTGGGAGCGAGGGACAGGGGAGACGGGACGAGCACGCGAGGGACGGCGAGACCAAACGTGGGACGGAGGTGTAGGGTCAGGAGATAGCGGAGGGGACACAAGGGAGGAACGAGGAGGAAGACGGGCCGGCGAGGAGTCCGGGGGCGGGAACACAGGGCCGTAGACATGAAGGTTAGGAGGAGGTGGGGGAGACGTCGGCGAGCAGTCAGGGGAGGGAAGGTCGAGCAGGCAAAGAGCGGAGACCGGCGGCGACGACTGCGGCGGCTGCTGCGGCGGCTGGTGCTCGACCCTCGAACCGACAGGGGCACGACGACCTCCGGGAGAACACTCAACAGTTGCACCCGCAGAACCAACCCCCCCAGAGCGAGAACCCTCTCCAGCCCAAGCGGCACCCCCAGGCCCGTCGGGACAGACCACGCCAGGAGCCGCAGCACGAACACCCTCCTCAGCGCTGGCACCCGCAGAGGCCAAGAGCGGCTGCGACGGCGGCGGCGGCGGCGACTGTGACGGCGGCGGCGGTGGCGACGACGGCGGCGACTGCGACAGCGGGGGCGGAGACATTAGGGAAAGGAGACGCGGCAAAGGCGGGGCAGGGGGACCACCAGAGTCAGCAGACTCCTTAACAGGGACAACTGACGGGAGGGGAGTGACATGGGAGACACCAGACGGAACAGGACGAGGCGGGAGGGGAGGAGGGGCTACCGTGGGAGAGGGGGCAAGGAAAAGGAGGGGGGAAACTGGGAGACCTCGGTGAGAGAAGCGACAGTAGAAGGAGACTGACTCGTCAAATGTGACGTTTAGAGAGTGGAGGAAGCGGTGAGACTGCGGGTGGTAGAAGAGCCAGTCAGACGAGTCCAGGGGGAAACCAAGGAAGACACAGGGGACAGAGCGGGCAGTGAGCTTGTCCATGCTAGAGGCACGAACGTGAGCAAGGCAGCCCAAGACGTGGAATGCAAGACGCGTCACCGGGGGACCCGGTCCAAAGGAGGGTCGGCGAAACCTGCGGCCGCTGGGTGCGTGGCCACAGGTTAAGCTGGTGAGCGGCGTAGCGAACGGCAAACGGCAACAGAAAATGGGGTGCACCGGCATGGATCATGGAAGTACGAGCCACCTCCATGACCAAGCCGATGCGGCGCTCAGCAACCCTATTCTGCTGTGGCGAGTACGGCAAGGTGTACGACAGGGTGATGCCCTCCGCACGACAGAACTCTGCAAGCCGAACAGAAGCGAACCCGCCGCCACGGTCAGAGTGGAGACACAACACAGGTAGACCGCGGTGAAGACGCGCAGCCACAACCCACGGGAGAAGAACGTCGGGCACTTCGGCCTTCCGCTCCAGGGGAAACACCGTGGTGTAGCGCGTGTAGTCGTCGACGAGCACAAGAAAGTAGCGCTCGCCACGCGGTACGGGGACGGGGGCTGGGCCCCAAACGTCCAGGTGCATGGTCTGAAGGAGGCCTAAGACAAGACCGTGCTGGGACATGTGACGCAGACGCGGGAGTGCAGGGTGACCTAGGCGGTGGTGCCACAGAAGGGACGGGTAAGTGAGGGACCAACACGAGCAAGCTGCAGCGACTTGGGAGGACGCACCAACCGGGGGGGGAAGCGGTATCTAGAGTGAACAGACCGGACACCGGGTTCCGGGGGAACGTCACAAGGGGTGAACCTGAGACAGCCTCAGTACAGACAGCGAACCGCTCGTGCCCAGGGAACGTACTGGTGACGCCGAGGTCCTGGAGACAGCCGACACCAACTAGGTTCCTCGAGAATGAGGGAACGTGGAGGCCTGTAAGAGAGCCCGAGGGAACTGCTGGACAGGGAAGGGACGTGGAACTGCGAGCGACGACGTGGCCTGCAGAGGGGTCAACGAGAGAGACAACAGCAGGTGCAGCAAGCGGCGCGAGTGTGGAACGGTCGCGGAAGAAACAGGCAGAAGCACCGGAGTCGAGAGTGAAGGACAGTGAAGCAGTGGCGGAGGCCGGGAATGGAGCCGGTGAAGGGACTAGGCTAGGCAAACTAGGCAGTCCTATGCCTGACGCAGCAGGGGAGGCTAAGCTACACAAGGGTGC